TAGTAACATCTGCAGGGGAAATCAGCAGTGTGGGGTGCTATGCTAAGCTTTGATGGTTTTAAAAGAGGACTACACAAATTCATGGGTGGCGCTGTGGGTTAAACCACAGAGCCTAGGGCTTGCCGATCAGAAGGTCGGCGATTCAAATCCCCGCAATGGGGTGAGCTCCCGTTGTTTGGTCCCAGCTCCTGCCCACCTATCAGTTTGAAAGCACGCCAGTGCAAGTAGATAAATAGGTACCACTCCAGCGGGAAGGTAAATGGCGTTTCCCTGCACTGCTCTGGTTCGCCAAAAGTGGCTTAGTCATGCTGGCCACATGACCCGGAAGCTGTACGCCAGCTCCCTTGGACAATAAAGCGAGATGAGCACCGCAACCCCAGAGTCAGTCACGACTAGACCTAATGGTCAGGGGTCCCTTTACCTTTACCTTACACAAATTCATGGAGAATAAATTTATCCAGTGTGACTGGCCGCCATGCCTACGTTCCTTCTCCATGGTGGAAGCAGTATCCCAGTTGCTGGAAACTGCATCAAGGGAGAATGTTGTTGTGCAGGTTGAAGCCACTGGATGCATAAAAACTGACTCCCATTGGAATAAAACATTGTCCAGACTGATTAGGTATTATTCAAGACTTTACTTACAGAACTTCCTTCAAAACAGAACAAAAACATCAAAGATACATCCAAACAATTCCATTCAATAGCTTGTGCATGTCCAGCAGAGGCTCAGCGACTAATAAGAAATAAAAGGTAATTCCAAACGGACCTAGAAGCAAAAGTGTGTCTCTCCTTACAGCCTACATTTTGCCTGGAGCTGCATTCACTCTCATATAGGCTCATTTATACATCCTTCCTCCCGCTAAGCCTGGGAACAAAGAACCAAAGGCAATTCCCTTCAGAATGGAGATTTGCAGCCAAATGCCGTATTTTTCTGTGTATAAGACTAGGTGGTTTTTTAACCAAAAAGTTAGGTTTAAAAATGGGGCTCGTCTTCTACACATGTAGTGCTTTGGGGTGTTTTCTTAATTTGAAGTTCCCAAAAATAGGGGGCGTCTTATACACAGAAAAATACGGTACCTTCATCACATGTTCAAAGGTAAACATTCCACATTAGAGCAAAGAACATCCACAGTTAATTATCAGAGTCTGTTAGTATGCACCCAATGTTAGCAATACAGGACCAATTATACTTAACAAGGTCCTGTATTTGAGCTTCTCCCAGGCATTTGGTTGGCCACTGTGTGAACAAGATGACGGCCATCCAGCAGGCTCTTCTTATGTTATTCAACATCAGCCTTGGGTGAGCCAAAAAGACCTGTCCATGACAAGGGGCATTACAGAGCATAGCCCCAAAGTCTAGGCACCCACCTTACACTGGGGAAGCCTTGCCTTCCAGGCCACCCATATTCTAGTCAAGTAAGCCTCAAAGTGTCCCATATCCAACCTAAGGTCCTCACTGTTAGAATTCCTGCTCCATGATTGCAGTTATGGAATTGTTGTCTATCACATGACGGTATATGTTTTGACTCCACAAAGTGGGAAGTGACGGAGACAGGATGTTTGTGTTACCGTGTTCCGTCAAGTGGGACTGTTGTACTTTGTTCTTGCTCTCTTTGCTGTCTGATGCTAGAGAGAGAGGGAGCCATGTTGCAGTGCTCCGTGTGTGTTTATATGTAAATAAAGTAGATTAGCCAAAATGCTGAGTTGCTGAGGTCTGTTACGCAAACTGCGAACACTGTGTGGATCCCTAAGTGTGCTGATGTCTGTTGGCATCAGTCGCTGTGATGCTTGGGCTGAAGAAAGCTTTTGAAGCTCCTGAAGGAACGACCAGGAGGGAGAGAACATGCCAGTCGGGCATGTGTCTCTGCCAGGGTCCTACTCGAGTGTAGGACAAGCTCCTGAAACTCACAACCAAGAACAGTTGGACTCCAAAAACATCCTTCACCTTAGAGGTGTCCAAGTATGCTCATCTGTTCCCTTGTCTCCCATTACCTTCTTTAACTGCACCCAACCTAAACTCCCACTAGTTCAGAGCTGGTAAAAAACCAAAAAGTAACTGCCTGATCTGGACTGTTTGTGGGGAGGCAAAAAAATAAAAAAAATAAAAAATCCCACTCAGTCCCGAAGTGACTGGAAATTCTGCACTGGAACTGAGAGAGGGAGGGATGAATAAATGCAGGAATGGTCAAATATGCCTCTGGGGCAAGGTGTGGGTCTAAACATCTCTTGGTCACGCTCCCAGATGCCAATGCGCAGAACTGGCACCACCATGCATTGTCTCCCTCCCTGGCCAGTTGCAATAGCTCTTCCAGACACAGACTTGTGCATTTGGAGGGAACAAGCTTCTGTCGCGCAACGGTAAAGGTAAAGGTACCCCTGCCCGTTCGGACCGGTCGTGACCGACTCTAGGGTTGCACGCTCATCTCGCTCAAGAGGCCGGGAGCTGGCACCGTCCGAAGACACTTCCGGGTCACGTGGCCAGCGTGACGAAGCTGCAACTGGCGAGCCAGCACCAGTGCCGCACACGGAAATGCCGTTTACCTTCCCGCTATAAAGCGGTACCTATTTATCTACTTGCACTTTGACGTGCTTTCGAACTGCTAGGTGGGCAGGAGCTGGGACCGAACAATGGGAGCTCACCCCGCTGCGGGGATTAAACAGAATAAAACTTTTACCTGAGAAAATAAACTTGTTCAGAAACAGCATAGTTAAAGAGCATACACAGAGTGCTCATAGCAGCTATCTGACTCTTCACAGAGGCACAGTCTTAATTACTGAGTTACTAGAGTCCTGCAACCACTCTGCAACAACACAACGCTGGCTGAGACACACACAGACACAGATGAGAGACTGCACTGGGTCTGCCTGCAAACAGGATACAAATTTATAAAGAGAATGAGTCATCTTGTAGATGAGTCACAATGATTCAGCAGTTTGCTGGTAACAGTTAGCAGGCTTGAATGATTGCGTAGACCTTGTAGGCCTTACTGCTTCTGCTCTTAAGAACCTTTGTCTCATGACAACTTCTGGACACGTCAAATTCTTGGTCTCTTCCTACATTTCAAAAAATCTGTACAGTGGTACCTCGGTTTTCAAACACAATCCGTTCTGGAAGACCGTTTGACTTCTGAAACGTTCAAAAAATGGAAACTCAATACGGAAGCCTCAAAACGTATGGAAAACTCAAACAGGAAGCCACCTCAGAAGTTCAACTTCCGAGGTGCGTTCGAAAACAGAAGCATTTACTTCTGGGTTTTTGGTGTTTGGAAACTGAAACGTTCGGCTTCCGAGATGCTCGAAAACCGAGGTACCACTGTACTGGTAAACAGATAAATAAGTCCCACTCTGCTATGCAAATGAAGGTCTGCTCTGTCAATCATGAAGACAATCTCAGTTCCCCACCACCAGGGGGCTGCAATTTTGGAAGCTTACCAATTTCTTAAAGTTTGCACTACGAATGAAAGAGGCTGACCTCACGTGGTTGCGGCTCAGATGAGTGATATTTAGATTATAAGTCTCAGCGAGGCTAAAGCTGTGGTATCCGAGTTGCTATAAAACCTCTGAGGAATTAAAATAATAATAATAATAGCTCTCAGTCTATATGAGATGAAGTAAAAGAGTAAACAGTATTATAATACTTAACACTTGGTGGCTTAGTTGTTGAGATTAAATCATATGAACATGCTTATAGAATTTAAACTGTTGCCTAAGGGAAGTTGATTGTGCTGCTGGGGTCAACTTCTGCAAGCCAATTCTAATGGACAGGCAGACAGGATGCTAAAATTCTGAAGCAGTTAAGATTCTAAGATTAAATAATAGCTCAGCTCAGCAGCAGAATTGGGCATTATTTTTGCTACATTCCAGCAAAGGAAAGGGGACTCTACCGTAGATTCCAGCGTATTAGGCGGCTGGGCGTATAAGACGACCCCCCCCCAACTTTCGCTGTTAAATTATAGAGTTTGGCTGCCCGCCAAGCACCGCCAGGGTCAGAGCGCGCACCCCTCCGCTGCCTCTGCTGTCACAGCAGCAGCCCAAGGCGCGTGAGGCATTTGGTGGTCAGAACTCATTCCCTCCCTCCTGCCTCCTTCCCTCCCTCCAGGAAAAGGCTGCGAGCGGCCACCTTGGCCTCCGCCGCCCTCACCTGTGAGGATGCCCAGCTCCTTGGAGCCCCGGCCGAAGCCGTGCACCACCTCACCACAGCAGGCTCTTCATGGTGCCCACGAGCCGAGCGAAGCCCCGCGCGGCCACGGCAGAGGCCAGATCCGGCTCCCATGGCAGCAGCAGACGGTACCTGATTTGCAGTTCTGAAACAATATGTTAAAACACAGCCAACTTTCAAAATTTGCTTTTCTTTCAATATTGCAATATTGCAAAAAAAAGCAAAAAAGAAAAAGAAAAGCAGAGACATCACCTTACCAACAAAGGTCCGTATGGTTAAAGCCATGGTTTTCCCAGTAGTGATGTATGGAAGTGAGAGCTGGACCATAAAGAAGGCTGATCGCCGAAGAATTGATGCTTTTGAATTATGGTGCTGGAGGAGACTCTTGAGAGTCCCATGGACTGCAAGAAGATCAAACCTATCCATTCTTAAGGAAATCAGCCCTGAGTGCTCACTGGAAGGACAGATCCTGAAGCTGAGGCTCCAATACTTGGCCACCTCATGAGAAGAGAAGACTCCCTGGAAAAGACCCTGATGCTGGGAAAGATTGAGGGCACAAGGAGAAGGGGTGACAGAGGACGAGATGGTTGGACAGTGTTCTCGAAGCTACAAACATGAGTCTGACCAAACTGCGGGAGGCAGTGGAAGACAGGAGTGCCTGGCGTGCTCTGGTCCATGGGGTCACGAAGAGTCGGACACGACTAAACGACTAAACAACAACAATTCTCTAGCTGAGTAATGTGTCCACAAATGCATATATCATATTTTTTATATATATTGTGATTTTGTGTAGTGAACTGCCCTGAGATTTAGGGCAGTATACCCACAACAACAACATGGAACCTCTGGGATAGCTCATTTAGTAGAGCATGAGACTCTTAATCCTGGGGTTGTGGGTTTGAGCCCCACACTGGGCAAAAGATTCCTGCATTGCAGGGGGCTGGATTCGATGATCCTAGCGGTCCCTTCCAACTGTACAACATGATTATATGATTCTAAATGTGTGCAAAATATCATGATGCTGTGGGAAATTGCTTTGAAAGGGAGCGTATAAAGCAAAGTTGCATTCCAAAATTGTGTCGAAATTTGCACTAAAATGCTGATGAATTTCCATGAGAACATTTGCTTAAAAAGCAAACCAATGCGGAAATATGAGACAAGAGTTCAAATCCCCATGCAGCCACGAAGCTCGTTGGGTAACCTGAGCGCCAGTTGGTATCTCTAAGCCTAACATACTTCACAGGGTTGTTGAGAGGATAGAAAAGGAGATGAGAATGAGATGAATACCTAAAATGGAAACAAGAGGAACTACCGACGAAAGAATGGAGGATGAAATTGATGGACTATGCAGAACTGGATAAATTAACAGGAAGGATTCAATACCTGCGGCACCAGAGATTCTTAGAAGACTGGAGTAAATATACGAACTATTTGAAAAGTAATTGTAATTAACAGATTACGCTAGTAGGATTGCAAGAAGTTTTGTAAGGAGGACTATCTGAAATATTGCAGGAAAGACTATGAGGAGAATTATTAGTTAATGATAAGGGTAATAGAGAAATTAAGAAAGGCAGAATAAGTGATAGAAATGGAAAATCATCAGAGGAGTTGACGGAAGTCAAAGATATTGTATAAGATAAGAAATTATGTTAAATGAATGTTGGAATTGATATGTTAAATAAACTAATAAAACTATTTATTTATTTTTAAAGAGAGAGTGAGATGAATACCAACTTGAACTCCTTGTAGAACAGGTGCGATAGAAATCCAATGCATGCATAAATACAAATGAAACTGTAAGCAAACATGCTTCCATACTTTGATGATTGCTGGGACTTTATGCTGACCACATAAAGTTACTACCAGTTGGCTGTCCCTCATTAACCCATCTAAGGTGTTTGCATTGTGAGATTTGTTTACAGCAATAGGACTTCAAATCTTGTGCAGAGCTGCTTCAGAAGCATCCACACACTGTATTATAAGCCATGCTTTTATCAGATACTTTTGTGTTCATCTCCCAAAGTTTTAAAGAGAGCTCTACTCTCAGTATCATTTTTCATCCCCGGTTTGCATATCCAAGGTCACGAACAAAGCAAAACACATCAAATGAATAGCCATGTTGTTGGCAAATATCGATGGCTGAAGCTGTTTGCAGGAGGCAGGAAGAAACAATGTATACATTCTGAGGAGAGCAGGATTTCAGGGGAATTATTCTTTTAAAGCACTCAGGTTATTGCTCTTTCAAACATAGGGGAAAGTGAAATACAAAGGCAAGGATACTTTTAAAAAGGCGGCTTTAGCCACAGCTAAGAGCAGAGGATATGTGAACCCATCTTGATTATTGATGTGGATTTCCTGCCTTGCTAGTTCACCGATTGTACATCTTTTCTGATTGAATATTTTACTTACTTCATGCAATTTATATACTGCTTGTTTGTAAAACCAAAACCAAAGCAGTTTACAAAAAAAGAACGAAACAATGAAACAAACGATGCGCTAACTATCAAAGAGGCAGGGAATTCCAAAGAGTGGTTGCTGACGTACTAAAAGATCTATTTCTTGCAAACGCAGAATGAGTATTCTGTGGCACTTGTAACTTTGCTGGACTCCTGCTCCAATAAAGGAGGTAATTAGATTCCAGCAGAACAGAAGCTAATTTATGGGTTTAATACATAGCTGCTTTTAACATGGTCATAAAACCCTTTTCCAAAACATTAGCCATACATCATCATCGCAATAAATCAAGTGGCTTTCAGCACTGCTTCTCAGATCTCTTTTTATTTAGATCGTTAATGATGATGCATTATTTATGGCTCTCTAATTGCTCCATGTTTTGGAAACAAGGTACTACTTTTAAGAACTTAGAAGGGAGCTGGGAAGAGATATAACAGATTGCTTGGAATTTTTTCCCCTTGCCTACTGCATTGTATTATTACCTAGCAGTTCAAAAGCATACCAGCACAAGTAGATAAATAGGTATCACTGTGGTGAGAAGGTAAATGGTGTTTCTGTGCACTCTGGCACTCGTCACGGTGTCCTGTTGCGCCAGAAGCGGTTTAGTCATGCTGGCCACATGACCCGGAAAGCTGTCTGCAGACAAACGCCAGCTCCCTCAGCCTGAAGCTAAGGTGAGAGCCACACCCTTTGACTAGACTTAGCCATCCAGCGGTCATTTACCTTCCCTACCAATTGTATTATTATTATCATCATTAATATTAATATAAAACCTACACAAAATATAAAAAACTACACAAAATACTTCAAAAAGGTTATGCAATAAAGGGGAATCAGTTGTGAAGCGGAGGCCATTTGGGATGACTTCCATAAGGCAAAAATAATATACTGTTGGATGCATCATGAGCATGGGAGTTCCACAGTCACTTATTTGGTAGTCTCAAGAATATCTCTGTACACACCTTTGTTGTTGTTGTTATTTATTATTATTTTATATTGCCCTTCATCTGAAGATCGCAGGGTGCATCACAACATAAAAATACAAAATGAGAACACAAAATACATAACAAAACAAGAACAGAAATAAACCAATAACACACACCCCTCCATCAAATGCATTTAAAAGGCCATAGAATGTTAATCAGCCCAAGGCCTGGTTCCAGAGAAACATTTTCTCCAGGCACCATTTTGGCATTAAGTAACATTAAAAAAAAAAACCATTTTGTATTCTCCCCACCAGGCAGATTTCCCTTCTCTTGTGTATGCAAAATTCTGAACTTCCAATGCAACTTGGTAGTTATGTGAATTGACTTGGCAATGTATGCCATTTCAATCCCAGTACATTTGCTATGAACTGAGGTTGCCAGTTTATAATGGTAGTCTTACAATTGGTTTAAGTAATGCAACAAGGTCCCAACGTGAATGCAATCATAGCCTTATGATCTCTGGTAGCAGTGGGGTATGTTGGGTGTGTGTGGAATCTTAGGGAATATGTCACGGTGTCCTGTTGCGCCAGAAGCGGTTTAGTCATGCTGGCCATATGACCCGGAAAGCTGTCTGCAGACAGTGGTACCTCAGGTTAAGTACTTAATTCGTTCCGGAGGTCCGTACTTAACCTGAAACCATTCTTAACCTGAAGCACCACTTTAGCTAATGGGGCCTCCCACTGCCACTGCGCTGCCGGATCACGATTTCTGTTCTCATCCTGTATCAACACTTTCTCAAGCTATACACACTCTCAAATACTGCTAATTTGAGTCCGCTCCTCCCATTGAAGAATGAGCATCTAGTTAGTTGGGATCCTGTTACGGAATCAGAGTGCCTACAGCTAATTAAAACTTTAAAAAATGGCAAAGCTCCTGGCGAGGACATGATCCCCCCTGAGGTTTTTAAATTAAATGCCCAATGGTGGGCCATCTTTTGGCCAAACTTTTTACGGCAATGAACAACACATGTAAAATCCCAGCAAATTGGAAACTAAGTGTGGTAGTCCCTATCTATAAGAAGGGAGACATTCAAGATCCAGCAAACTACCGCCCTATAAGCCTTCTGGACATCGCATACAAACTTTATACCCGGTACCTATTAAACAAGCTGGTAGATTGGGCGGACCATTCTAACCTGTTCAACCAGGAACAGGCAGGATTTAGAAAGGGCCACAATACGATAGGTCACTGTATGGTACTACAGACCCTGGTAGCTAAATATGCAAAAGCGTATAAGAGCAGACTCTTTGTGGCCTTCGTAGACTTGACATCTGCCTTCGACTCAATCTGTAGAGATAGACTATGGAAAAATTATATGAAACGGACATTGACAGACGACTTTTAAAAATTCTCAGAGAGTTACATACAGACATTACAGTCAAAATCAGAACTGGGCCATCGGGAACTCTTACGGACCCACTGCCATTGGGGAAAGGGGTCAAACAGGGATGCCTGCTAGCCCCATTTCTTTTCAACTTTTATATAAACGACATTGTCCAGTACATGGCAAAGTACAAGTCATCGGCTCCAGCCCTTGAAGGTAAACGCCTGAATATTTTGCTATATGCCGATGACATGGTTTTAATGGCACTCACCCGAAGAGGCTTACGCAGCATGCTGGAGGGGATCGCAGCCTACTGTTCCCATAATTCACTAAAGATAAACCATGATAAAACAAAAATTGTGGTGTTTACTAGAGCTCGCCACACCTTTAGATGGTCTTTAGATGAACAAGTGATTGAACAGTGCCCTTTGTGTAAATATCTGGGTGTTACATTCCAGGCTACATCTAGCTGGCTAGCCCACTTTAAGGCTGTAACCATCCTAACACGAAGAACAATTGGTGTTTTGCTTAGTTTCTTCCATACCAGGGGAGGACAATTGGTGATCCCGGCATTAAGAGCTTTCGTTGGGAAAGCTATTCCCCAGATGTTATATGGGATAGAACTCTGGGGGTGGAACCAGAGGCTGTTGGAACGGCTTGAAATTTTGCAAAACTACTATCTCAAGAAGATTCTAGGCCTTCCTCAAGGAACCCCAGCAGCCTTCTTGAGGGTGGAGGTTGGTTTACCCTCTGTGTCTGCCAGGGCCCACTTAAGATTCCTACGATTTTACATCAACCTTGCAAACTCTTCAAACACCTTATTGGCCAAACAAGCCTTCGTATCTTTTCAAAAGAATACCACTTGGCGCCAAAACTTATCTGAGATCCTGGTTAGATACACCCTACCGGAGTTTAATATCCTCAAACGGTGGAGCCCGGACAAAGTCCGGAAATGGATCCTGGAGAGAGACGCTCTGTTAGATACCACAAAAATACAGATCCCAGGGTCCTCCCACTGGCTTCCCCGACTGAAAGCAGTCAAAATCTGCGCCAACTACTTGGCGAATATCACCAATCCCACTCTTCGGAGAGCCTTTACTATGGCCCGTTTTCAAACCATTCCTACGGCCTATCTGTCAGGCAGATATGCAAA